CCACAATAGAGCTCAACACTCAGCAACAAAGATGTCACCACTTGAATTCGTCTATGGTTTCAACCCTACTCCACCATTGGAGCTATCACCATTGCCACCAGCTGAAGCCGTGAGTCTAGAAGGGGAACATAAGGCTGAATTTGTCAAGAAGCTCCACTTAAAAGCCAAAGAGAACTTGGAGAAAAGAACCGAGCAATATGAAAGGAATGCAAACAAGGGCCACAAGGAGATGGTTTTTGAACCTGGAGAATGGGTTTGGCTACACATGCGGCATGAAAGATTCCCAAATCAAAGGAGTTCTAAGCTTTCACTGAGAGGAGATGGTCCCTTCAAGATCCTAGAAAATATCAACAAAAATGCCTACAAGCTTGAGCTACCCGGTGAGTTCAATGTGTCTTCTACTTTCAATGTATCTGATCTATCTCCTTATCTTGCAGATGAACCAGTTTTGAGGTCAAAACCTCATCAAGGGGGGAGGGAATGATGAGGACATTCAAGCCGAACCTGACTTAACTGAGCCACAAATGCAAGATCTTGAAATACCAACACTCCATGAAGGACCAATAACAAGGGCAAAAGCAAGAATACTCCAACACAAAAACAATCAAAGCATCATGCAAGCAGCAGCTAAAGAGATGCCAATAGAGAATCAAGAACTACTTGGAGAAGAACAAGAAACGGCTAACAAGAACCATGGACCACAAGCTTGGGCCGAGACACTCAAAGAAATCTCAACAATCGACCCAAAGAAACAATATTTCTGGCCTCTTTTACCAAGACAAGCCCAAGTCCAAGTGTTCACTATCTCAAGAATGAATCAGGACATCTAAAAGGGAACATTCAAGCTCGGTCAAAGACAGCAACAATCTCGCTTAGCCAACTAAGGTAAGTTCTTCAAATTATTTCAATTATCTTTTGACTAACCTTTGTTTTCTTTGTGTCTTTGTTTCCGAGAATCTCTTAGCCTAAACGTTAGCTATTTTAGTTTGAATTCCTTTGTTTAATTTTTATTAGATGTTGCATTTTCCTATTTTAAGTCCTGTCGCATTGAGTCTTTTATTTTTCTTGAGTCTAAGCCGCTTGGACGTTATATAAGTCCTTCTACGGCCGTAACTCGCTACCCTTTTTCATATCAATAAAATATCAAATTTTCGTAAGCAAGTTTTCTCAGCAAAGAAACCTGTTTATTCTCTTTGTTCTAGTCGAGACCAGCACCTCGTAGTCCAAAGAAAACTGTGTTGTATCACAAGACTTTCACCTCTTGTGTGGTGCACTTCATTCCATCATTTTCATCCTTTGTTTCATCGATTCATTTGGTTAGAGAAGCTCAGCCATTGAATGAACCCTTGGCCGCTTAACCAAGCTTTGTTCCGAGATTTTATAAGCCTTGTGTCAGCCCTGTGCTTGTATCATACTGAGTCGTGTGTCAAATATTTCATTTTTACCATGTTTGCTAACATTTGGTTTCACTTTTGTACTTTCATGTTTGCCTAATATATATAATCAAATTGAGTGAAATTTTAATCAAAAACACATGACTAGACCCAATAGTATAGACAAAAAACACATATCCATTCTATATACCAATACTGAAAACAAATGAGAACAAACCCAAAAAAATTATGAAGCTCATATATGTCATATTGCATAGACCAATCTCTTAATATTTTTCTTTTGATATGTCATTTTACATTAATGTTCAAAGTTTAGTATAGTTTGAGTTAAATATAACAGATCAAACACAGATAAGAACCAAAAAACCCTAAGTTAAAAGATAGTTATTACACACACAAAAAACCAAAAAGACATGAGTTAAAAGTTTAAGAGAACCAATAGGACATAAGGTTATAATATAGAAATTATAGGTCGAGAAAAGAGGTAGATGATGAAAGAAAAAGTTCATGCAAGAAATGTTTGACGTTGTAATACTTGACAGCAAATTTGCGTTGACGAAACTCAAAAAATTTTACCATCAAATAATGGTAGGTTTTTGTTTTTTTTGTGCTACTTTTTTGTTCTCGTGACTTAAAAAAAAAGTAATTAATGATATTTTGGTAAAAGCTTTTCTTAACAAAACCCAAAAAGGCATATTCGGTATATGAGGTTAGTTTAGTATAAACAACAAAAGTGTGGCAAACTATTAAAAATATAGGTTTAGAGGTTAGTTTAGTAATCCTCCATTTTTTAAGGGAGAATAACTAAACTAACTTTATAAAAAACTTCAAAATACTGAAATAATGCTAATCTTTTGGAATTATTAGAATAACCTCGCATACCGATTTTAGATTTTTGGCCTTGTTGGCAAAAAACGTTATTACGAAACTGTCATTATTATTTAAAATCCACATCAGCGCATTTCAAAATATAAGTCTACCATCCCGTTATGGTAGATTTAAATACGTTGATAGACTTTATAAATTAACCATAGACTTAATTTTTGATGAGCAGATTTAATTTTGGTCGGTAGATTTGTTTTCAGGACGGTAGACTTTATAAAATTTTGGTAGACTTGTATTGGTAGAAATATTCTTACGAAGAGGCAGATTTAATTTTGCACGGTAGATATGTTATAATATTGGTAGATTTATTTGTTTTGATGGCAGATTTGGTAGAAATTGGTAGATTTTACGAGAGATGAGTTGACTTATTGGTACATGTTTGACTGGGATAGTAGATTTATGTCATGTGACGGTAGAATAAGTTTTTCCCTGGTATATTTTGTTTTAATGATGGGAGACTTATTGTCGAATGTCAACAATTTTAGTGACGGTAGATTTAGTATAATGAGGTAGAGTAATTTTGTGATGGTAGAGTTATTTTGTATTTGGTAAATTTTTGGTTCGTTACGGCAAAGTTTTTAACACAATAAAAGTATATTTTCCAATTTGAATTGGCGGTAGATTTTCGTTATGACCTGATAGATTTATATATTCTAGGTAGATTTATATATTATAGGTAGATTTAGTTTGCAGACGATGGATTTATCATTAGTAATGGTAGATTTACATGAAAAAATTATAAACAATATATTGGTAAATTTCTGGTTAGTTGGTAGATTTAGCTAACATTGATAGACTTATGAAATGAAGATTTGTTAGGGATGGTAGACTTATTAAAACGGTTTATATGACTAATTTGGCCATAAAACACTTCATATTTGCAAAATAAACCACGCGACCAACGATTTCAAATAGGGTAGCCGCCGCTCCAAAAATTTCTGGAATTTCTAATGATTTTTAATTAAACCTCTGATGTTCTGGAATAATTTTCTGGATCGGCTGAAAATAACTCTCCTTGATGATTTAGGCTCTGCTCGTTTTTTGATCTAGATGTTGCATCAAGATTTAGCATCTAGATCAACATCTAGATACAACATGTAGATATTGTTTGTTTTAAAAATTAGCTTTTGCATCAAGATGCTACATCTGGATACAAAATTGTTCGTTTGTAAGTTTAGAAAAATAGTTGGATGCAAAATATATCAAATAACTAAAAAAGGCAACTTTTGAATTATTATTATTTATTTATAATCAAATTAGTTAATATTAATTATTTCTAAGTGATATTTTTTTATCAAATTAAGTTTTAAAAATACTTGAAAAAAATATTTTTACATTTTTTTTACGGAAAACATGATTTTACATATATGATGGAGAAATTGTTTTTACTGGATTTTGAGTTTTTGATGGAAAATCGTGATTATTTTTTACGAAAAACATGATTTTGCATATATGAATATGTTATTGTGAGGAGTATTTTAGTCTTTTGAGTTTTGAGATGCTAGATTTGCATCTTGACTCTATATTTTTCAGCATCTCAAATATCTATATTTGAGTATTTGCATCCAAATTCAATATCCCGATATTAGTTATAAAGTGTCCAAACAAACAACATTTGAGTATTTGCATCCAAATGCATAGTCTGAATGCAAAAACGAACAGAAGTCGTATAGGTATGAATTTAACTGACGATGTCTGTGACGTTCATGGGAAAATAACTCTCTCCCTGATGTTCATGAACATGTTTCACCCTCACTTCCATTATATAACTCTCTCTGATGCTTTCTTCTAGCCCCTTAATATTTTCGATTAAAGGGCTAATTACCTTTGTCACAGAAAAAGTATCTCCCTGATAATTTCTTCTAGCCCAATAATGGGAGACACGTTTCACCATGTCTGTGACGTTCATGAGAAAATAACCCTCCCTGATGTTGATGAACTCTCCCTGTTGTTCATGAACACGATGTATAGCCAACGAACCAGGGTTTTATGACGTTATGATTAAGCATAATAACCGTGGCGGCTGAAAATAGCTCACACACTTTTAAAAGTTAATTCTAGTGAATTTTCTGTTTTTTAATTGTCACTACAAATTCTACAAATTGAAGATTAAATATTAAAATAAATAATAAGTCAATATTGGTAACATCTCTTCTGTGCTAAGTTTTAAAATTTCTATATTCTTATGGTATAACAAACTATAACAAAATTTCTGAGAAAACAGAGCAAAAAAAGTGCTTGATGGCTGTTCCGCTGTTGCGTGTGAAGAAGTACGAGAGCGTTGAAAACAATGGGTTTCATAACCATAGGACCCATTTTATCTTAGTGAAATGACAAAACATAAAATGACAAAAGAAAGATAAACATCAAAAAATTTGGAGATGCGGGGTATCGATCCCCGTACCTCTCGCATGCTAAGCGAGCGCTCTACCATCTGAGCTACATCCCCATCTGATGCTTAGTATTATATTATTATTTATATCTATTTACTGTTTGCCATTATCGTGAGTAGATTCCGATCATGTTCCTCTATTAGTTGGCACATATAATATAGTCCTGAATCCTTGACTTTTACGAGTCCATTTTCAAGATTCCATTTACAATAATACAGATTATCTTTTACCAGAAAAATTATTATATAAATACAGTCATTAGAGACCACCAATCCACCATTGTTGATCAATTTAGCAATTCCTTATCTTTAGACTTTAGCCGCCGTTTTAAAATATTTACCTTAAACTGTATATAATTTTTTTTTTGTACAATTAAAATTTCAGCATATAAAAACACGATCATACTTGTCTGTGTAATCCACATCTCAAGCTTATCTCTCTTTGTCACTCTCTCTCTCTTTCCCTGATGGGTCTTCCGACAGATTTTAAGGAGCTTCAGATTCCGGGATACGTACTTAAGACGCTTTACGTCATCGGTTTCTTCAGAGACATCGTCGATGCTCTTTGTCCTTACATCGGCCTACCCCAGTTTCTAGACCACGAGGTTTCTCGACCCGACCCGATCCAACCCGCAAGCTCCACGGCGGCGAGTCTCGCAGATAAGGTTTCCCCGGTGGTTTGTTTCTCGGATCTCCAGACCGATCTTGAAGACTGCTGCACGGTGTGTCTCTCCGATTTTGAATCCGATGATAAGATCAGGCAGCTTCCGAATTGTCGACACGTGTTCCATCACCGTTGCTTGGACCGTTGGATCGTCGATTGTCACCAGATGACGTGTCCGATTTGTCGGGATCGGTTCTTACCGGCCGAAAAATACGCGCGGATGAATTCGGGTTCTGGTTTGGTTTGGTACAGTGTCGAACCAACTGATGTTGATTTTTAAATTTGTTCGTGTGTGTCGGCACGATCTTTTTGCTGTATAATTCAACTATAACATTATGTAAATATCTAATCAAATATTCCGAGTTTGTATATTTACGTATGTTCCAATTTGTTTCGTTGTAAAAAAAAAATATTAAAACATATCAATTTTTTGGTATATCGATTTATATTACCTGTCTATTAGCGAAGGGCTCTACTTAATAATCTACACAAAGCAGAATGGCAGATATTTACTAAGTATGTGGTAGTCTAGTGACATTACTTGAATCCAGTTAAAAAAAAGTATAGATTTATCTCTTTCTTATGGAATTGACATCTATTTCTTTGAGATGGATATAGTGCGCACATAGTGATGAGGGAGGGAGATGAATAAAACGGATAAATGAAAAAAAAAAGAATGAAATGGATAAATGAATGGAATTAGACATTTTTCTCTTTGTTTTTTCCATCATATTCATTTTTCTTTTCTGTAGAATGGTGGCTTATAGTTGATAACTATTCAAAACGGTAATTTTTACATCGGACGGAATTTCCCAACCAAACCACTAAAATATATATTGAACAACTCTTCATCGTTAAAAGTCCAGCCGTCAAGTGGACGCTTTGGAATTTTCCTCAGTGAGTCAATGAGTAATGACTTTCAATTTTAAATACTATGATATAGTTTATAAGGAAAGTGGTGGTGACATTATAACTTATGGACGACTAGTCAAAAGAACTCAAAGGCTCTCTCATTCGATAATATCTCTCTTGTCGCCAACTTATCTTATATTTTTAAATATTGTACATGTCTACATGCTACTATAGTCCAACATACAATTTGATGCTTGTTTTTGTTCTCTAGCCTGTCTTTATCATTCACTAGATTTTGATAATTTTTACAAGTTAATCAAATGTTACTTTTTAAACAGAATATTAACATGATAATAAAATATTATACATTCACTTATTTAAATCAAGAAAATAATTTTTTCTATCATTTTCACTTTTATTTTAATTATATATATGTTCTTTAAAAATAATAAAAAATAAAATTTAAAATATAATCTCTTTTCTTCTCTTGTTTAACAAATACAAATTTTTATTTTGATATATTAATTTTAAAAAACTAATAAATAAAATATTTGCTTTGAGATTAATAACAACTTTTAAATTTGAAACCAAAACAATAGTTGAATATGAAATGAATAAAATCACACAAAATTTGTGAATAAATATATTTTTGTCAATTGGTAATGTCAAATTTTAAATAATTTTTCAATGATTATACATTATCTTTTCTAATAAGAATGAAATTATTTTTTCATCTTCTTCATTTTTATTCTTGTTATATCTATTTTTTCAATAAATTTATTGTATTTATTTATTTTAATAATGTTTGTATGATTATATTCAGTTTCATCAGATTCATTTTCACTTCTAATTGTAATTAAGTAGACAAAACCAGTACAATTTAGTACATACAAATTAATAAAAATGAAATAACAAATTGAACAACTCAAAACTAAGAACTTCTACATTAATCTATTGAATTCTAAAATGAATATATATAATGTAAATTTTTTTATCATTTTTGCATAATATATTACATGAGAAAAAAATATTATATATTTTCGTATAATATATTACATATTTCGATGATATGTTTTGCATATGTGAAAAAATTAGATGAATATAAATCATAAATATTAGTTATTTAACATTCTACATGAAAAGCTTTAAAATCAAGTAACTTAAACTTGTATAAGTATCATATATGTTTTTATAGATAATAAATTAAAGTTGTGATTTAAACAGTGATAATGGAGATTTTAATATCATGTTGGTTTTTGTTTTTGTTAACAGAGATTTCTTTATTTTAATATATTTTTTTAATCATAATATTAGAATTATGTAACTTTTTTTAATTAATAAGTTTGATATATATACGAATAAAAATGAATTTTTAAATGCTGATGTGGATTCCTTGAAAATAATAGTTTTAACTATCATTAATAATAGAATAGTTAAAATTAATTTTTTTCTATATTATTTTGTAATAACAATGTAATTTTATAATTTAGAAAAAATTTAATTTTAGTTATTGATGTGAAATAATAAAATTGACATTTTAAATCTTATATGGATGTCCTTAGGGGTATATAACTTCAACTTTTATATTTGTTTGTTAACAATATAACTTAAAATTTTTAAATTTTTTTTAATTTTAAATATTGATGTGGACCAATAGAATTAAATTTTAAAATCATATATGGACATTTTTAGAGGCATATAGCTTTAACTTTTTTTAGTAATAAATTTAAAAATCAAAACTGGAAAATTTCACACGAGGCCCGTTGCGGCAAGTGATTTTAGCCTCTCCTCTTTGTTTTGAGGCTTACCGAATGTATTCGGATGCTGCTTAGTCAGCTAATTGTTACTTTTGTGGTTCAGGTTGGGTTGTTAAAACCCATTCAGATGCTATGTTATTTCGAAATTTTTCCTTAGATATCTTAGTCTTCTCCACTATGTTCTTATCTCTATTTTCAGTGCTTGATTTTTCAAAAGTGTCGAGTATCAATAACTTGACATGTTTCTCGGATTACTTGAAATTTATTTTTTTTCTCAAATTTGGTGGCCAAGCTTTGGAGATTTTACGGTTTTTTTTTTCAATATTAAAGTGGCTTGTAGTGCATTTGTTTATATCTCATTTCATTATATTATTTATAATTTATCTAATAATTAAACATATAGTTTAGTCAACTTTGTTCTTGTAGTGGCTTTATTTATATCTTCTTTCATTATATTTTTTGTAATTTAGCTAATAGTTAATCATATAGTTTAGTTAAGTTAGTTCTTTTACGTTGTAATGACTCATTTTTAGTGAAATCTTACTTTATCTTTTGTTTTTGTTTATTTTACATGGTTGCACACACAGAAAAAAACTTAAAAATTATTATAATTATGTGACAAAAAAATTGGATGCTAATGTAAAAGTCTCTAAATATGTGTATATATATCTAATTTAAATTAAAAATTTCCTATTTTAAAATTAGTTATTTTAGTTTTTTTATTAATATCAATTTTATATATAATTTCTTTGCTTTTCATATTTTTAAAATAGAATTTGGAAATTTTTCAATTTTCAATGTTGAGGTGGACTAATAAAAAATTTATACAAACATTTTTCAATTTTCAATGTTGAGGTGGACCAATACAAATTTTTTTATTAGACAAATAAACTTTTTTAATTTCCTTTTTCAGCAATAATATTATAATTTGTAAATTTTCTTTAATTTTGAATGTTGATGTAGACCAATAAAATTAATTTTTATATCTTATATGGACAGTTTCTTAATTTTTTTTTTCAACAATAATATTACAATTTGGAAAATTTCCTTATTTTTGAATGTTGATGTGGACCAATTAAATTTCTCTTTTAAATCCTATATGGATGCCTTGAAAATAATTTAACTTCAACTTTTATTAGTATAAGATGTGCCGGCTGATTAGCTAAACTGTTTCCCTATGAATATACAAGTATTAAATCCACAAGAGGATGCTAAACGATGTATATCTAATATCTCTAATTAGTCATAATCCAAAAATTATTTTTACGGCATTCATGGTCATGAGAACATTTTTTTTAAAAGAGCATTTTAAACTTTTTGGACATGAGGTCTTCCTACACTCGTATAAACTTCCGGGGTCAATTCGAAAATGGTCTAACTTTTTAAGCGAACAATTTAATTTCACTAATTTTCAAAAACGACCCTTGTCAATTTGAAAATTGGGCTGAATTAATCAAAGAGCCCATTAAACAATCGGCCCGATAGTCGAGAAAATCAGCCACCGGAGTCTTCCGTTTCCCAGCATTTCTCCGTCATCGTTCTCTCTCTCTCTCTCTCTCTCTCTCTCTCTCTCTCTCTCTCTCTCTCTCTCTCTCTCTCTCTCTCTCTCTCACATAATCTCGGAGAAGAAAGAGCGTCGCGTCGAAGAAAGGAGCGATGAGCGGTCACGATTCGAAATACTTCTCGACGACGAAGAAGGGAGAGATCCCTGAGCTCAAGGAAGAGCTTAATTCGCAGTATAAGGTTTTTAATTTCCCACTCTTGTCTTTATATCTATGGTTTTCATAGTCTTCCGTGTGGATCTGTGATCCGCCATTATTACATATGCAATTTCTTGTTTTGTGATCATTTGCTCCTTCTGATTTCGTTATCTTCTTCGTTTGTAGTTAGATCTGTGTAATTGTGGATTTGAATTATAATCGGTGAAAGTTTGTTGCTGTTTAGTGGAATTGGTTTTGTAGTTTCGTGGAAAGAGGGATGATTCCATAAGTTATGGTGAATATGTTCACTAATTGGTTGGGATATAGCCACAATTGGATGAGAATTTGATATGTTGAGAATGGCTAATGCTGGTGGTGTGTGCAATCTCGTAGTAGCTTTAACCGGAGCTTAGGTTGGTGGATCAAGAACTGTTCAATCTGGATCAGAGATTATTAAGGGAACTGCTGTTTTGATCTTACGAGTTGTCTTTTGACGCTTGTTTGTGTTCAATTCTGTTCTGTTAATCCGTTTTCAGTTTGTTGCATTTCATGGATTTTCTGTATAATTTACTGTTCAGTAAGAAGCATATGTCAATGATTTAAGTAGGAAGGGTACTTTCTATTCTCGCTTCTGTTTTGTTAACCCTTTTTGCGTACGTTTGGTTTCATAGGATAAGAGAAAGGATGCAGTTAAGAAGGTTATTGCGGCAATGACCGTTGGAAAGGATGTTTCATCACTTTTCACTGATGTAGTCAATTGCATGCAAACGGAAAATCTGGAGCTGAAGAAGCTTGTTTACCTCTATCTCATAAATTATGCGAAAAGCCAGCCAGATCTTGCTATTCTTGCAGTAAATACCTTCGTAAAGGTAAAACTCAAGCTAGTGGCATATAGTTTTTCCATTCTTTTGTTCGGTTCTGTAATTGAGGGAATGAGATAAAAAGAAAGAAAGAAATGAACTGGTCATATGATCATTATAATTGTTGGTTTGTATTCTGCAGGATTCACAAGATCCAAATCCGCTGATCCGTGCTCTAGCTGTGAGGACAATGGGTTGCATTCGTGTTGATAAAATCACAGAATATCTTTGTGATCCTCTTCAAAAGTGCCTAAAGGTTTAATTTTG